CCTTGACCCTGAATGAAAACCAACACCGTTTTCCTTGTTAATTGTTGTGTAAATAATAAATGGCAAAATAATCATTTGTGCATTGCGTTCGTGTCTTCATTCGAGAACCTGAGGTTAAACTAATTGCATTACGGGGGCAGACATGTCAAACAAAAGGAGGGATGTCCCTCCTTTAAGGAGGAACGCACAGAGGACATCTGGTAGCACAACCAGGGTCAACCTGGGGTGGGCGCGCAGGACCTAAATTCAATGTCAAGAACCACTTGACAATGGAAACCCCCAATGGCTACCGATAATACTTACATATAAACATTTCCCCTCAAGTATATGTGTAAAAAATGAATGCCAAATAGAGGTTAAATTAGATTGACGTGGGAAAATATTCAATGCCTACGCGTATTGATTGTGCAAGCGAAATGGTCAATGGAGGGACAGAAAAGTCAACACAAAATGTTTTGCAAAAATTATACCAAATCGAGAAGGGACGTGTGAGACGCTTCTTACGCGTCACAACTTTTATACCCGGCACTCAGTACTACATCTGCACCTAAACGGTGTTTTGTAAAATTTTACATTTTTGAAATACACTTGTAACAGTGTGAGTACACAGAAGTCTGGATGCAACATTTGGTGGCTATAGCTTTTATAGTCTCTGAGTACTAGGCGCTCATCAGGACGGACAGACGGACGGACAGACATACATGGCTCAATCGACTCGGCTATTGATGCTGATCAAGAATATATATACTTTATGGGATCGGAAACGTTTCCTTCTGTGTGTTTCATACTTTGTGCACAAATACAATATACCCTATTTACTCTTGGAGTACCGGGTATAATAATAAGGAAGGTAAAATATATTTTTGGGCCCCTAGGGAACATCAGTTAAAATGCAGAAATTTAAAAGAATATTATTTAAACAATAATCAATCACTTTTCAGTGCACACACACATATGCAAATAATCCGCATGATTTACACTTAGAAATGTGTAGCACACAGCCCGCAGCTTCGTAATGAATAGTAATTAAGCAATATTTAGTAAATAGCCCGCAGACTAATCTGCATAGCAATCAGTTTAATCAACCGTGCACAGACCCACCCAAAAACCAAAGGACACATTTGGCATCCTTCAGCCGAGATAACAGAGGGCGCACCTGTTTTAGAGTAGTCCTCAGCCAGACAGGGCGGCCCATTAATATGCAGAAGGCAGTGTAGAGAAAACATATCATATACTAGCACAACGAACATGTTTATTTGGGTCATTATGCAAACAGAGGCAGCCAGAGAAATAAACCAGAGCTTGAATCAGAGGCAGAGGCCAACCCAAAGACAGACCCTGAGACAGAGTCAGAGCCTGAGTCAGATCCAGAAACAGACCCCGAGCCAGAGCCCAAGCCCAGCCTCAGTTCATGAGAATATGATGATAAATGATTTGCTGCTGGTCTTTGAACCGTAAATGATGAATATAATACTTTAAGTTGGGTTCTAAGCCAAGATCCCCGTGGGGGATCCGTTGCTCCGCGGGTGGGTTCGGAAGCCCAAACAAATGGGCACGGCACGGGACAGAGACTGGTTGATTCAATGAAGCATAAATCGAAATGAAGGAACCCGCCATCCAGCACAGAGTAAGAGTGAGGGTGAGGGCAATGTACGGTTGCACCCTCATCCGGAATATTACCAATGCAAATCCCAGCAATAAGTTCTGTAGTGCCTATTTATGGTAGGGTGGAAAGGCGCTCGCTGCCTTTTGTTTATCTGCATTTGCATATGCTTGTAGGAGTGTATTTTATGACTGAAATATGCATGTAGCGGCCTCAAAGTACAAATACAATACGAAAAAAGCTTCTCAAGTTTTGCATATTTTCCTGAAAAAAAACTGGAAAAACTTTATTCAAAACAGCAAAGAAAACGAAAAACGAAAGGGTGGAAAATGTGCCTGAAGGAACTTTATTTTACTTTTTGTTGGGAGCAACAGTCGTAAAGGAAACTCGAGAGCCATCAAGGCATAAATCCCAAGACATGAGACATCCGGAGGCAAACATCCTTATGTTAGGGAAAAAAAAAGGTATATGGACACTATACGAATACGCGATCCTACATTAATACCAGATTAAAGAGAGCACGGATAAACCAAGACTTTGGTCCGATCGAACCATGAAATATATAAACTAAATAAACCATCCCAAAAATAGTACACATCTTGTTAATAATATTGCAGCCTGACCAACTTAACTTTACAATATATGCAGAGTCCTCTTTTTAAGAAAGTACACTGACGGTTTATTTATTTAAAGTTATTCATAGTTTATTCCGTTTGAGTTGGTTTGGCTATATTTAAAAGATTATACGATGTGATAGGTACGAGACTTTGGCAGCGATTCCCTGTTGTCACTCTTTGTCACTTTGAAACTGAGCACTCCTACTATCGATATATTAGGGTAGAGACAGACGATTAATATGTGTAACCGCTTATGTTGCTCCTTGTCACTACAGTAACCCAATCGGGTCCCACATATAATTTAGAATTGATGTAATTAAATAATTAAAAATATTATCAGAATAGTAATATTCTTAAACTAAGTACACAACACTAAATAACCCCACTTGCATGCTTAATGTGCAATTTTCCAGCCATGAACTTTAAAACTTTAATATTGCAACATTCCCACAGCTTCTTTCCTTATTATACTTGGAGAGTTTTAGAAAATTGTGGGAGTCGAGAAAATATATCCTAAATTGCCCTTTTTATCGAATGAAGTTAAGGCTGTTTTAACTTTACTTTCATTGCCCTTCAAAATTATAAATTTATTCTGTAATTGCAACATCTATAATATTCATGAGACAATTTAAAAGAAGCATTTCGTAAAAAGTCCTCAAGTTAATCGAAAGATACAAAGCACATTTTTATATATTTGTGTCATTAATAGGTGTTGGGAATTCCTTAGCGGAATATAAATAAAAATATAACCACAGCCCTCTGATTTGATATGGTTCAAATTTGGCTAAGGTGCTTCAATATCTGAAAGCGGCATATCTGGTTGTGCAAACTAAAACTAATTTCATTTAGCGCCCATTAGTCGAGATCCTAGAAAGTATTTTAAAATGTTATTACAATTGTATTCTCTTATTTCAAGCAAGGTCATGAAGGGTCTCTTAATTTTATTGCTAATTGGTAAGTTGTCGAGCGGGAATTTAGGAAATTGTTTTATTTTTTTCTTACATTTAAGGTTTAGGCAATGCTAAAGATGAAGCTTGTCGCACATATTGCCATTCCAAGCATCAGCCACTTTGTGCGTATGATGAACATGGTGATGCCACATACTTTGCCAACGAATGCATGCTGGAAATCGCCAACTGCAAGCGCAAAGACGAAAAGTTGCCAGGTAATATTAAAAACAAATAACATTTTGTAGGCAAATATAAATCAATATCTTTTTACAGCATTAAACAAAGTTACCCAAGGCGATTGCCGTAAAGCATTTAAATAGGTATCTTAAGTTAGTTGACATCCACAAAATACAAACTATTTTACCCATAATGGTTGCAATATCTATCTGGATGGTGTATTGGAATGTAATTTGCATAGGAAAAGTACTCAAATATTGGAACTTTCATGGGAAAGGTCCTGGCATTGACAGGGTATGCAATGCCACTTTGAAAGCATTGCCTCTTAGTGGAAGATGGCTGCATTCTTGATCTTGAGATAATAAAAAAGAATGCCGTATATATCCGGATCACCAGTTCGGCTTTTGGAAGGAGCATGGCACCGTGGAGCAGGTCCACTAATTGGTAAAGCACATACTACAGACCTTTGATGTCCTGGTATACTGCAATGCTGTCTTTATTGATATGAGCCAAGCGTTCGATAGAGTTTGGCACGTCGGCCTTCTAAGCAATATTAAAAAACGGTTTCCTGCCACTTACTGAGGAGTCCTACAATCATATTTGGAAGGACGTCAGTATATGGTCAGGGGCAGGAGCACCTTTTGGATGCCCTGTCTTATTAAAGCTGAAGTTTCACAGGGCAGCAATATTTGTTCGTTGCCTTACTCCAAATACAGTGCAGATATACCCCGCCCTAGCGAGCATCACATAGAGGATCCCAGGAAGGCTCTACTTGCGCCTTACGAGGCTGATATCGCGCTGCTTTACAGCTCCAAATGCCGTTAAGAGGAAGCAGATAGATAAAAGCAGATAAGCAGATACAAGAATACCTTAAGGCATTGCCAGTTTGGTGCAAGAGGTGGAACATAACGGTAAACCTACCTACGACCACCAATCCCAGCTTCACCTTAAAAACGTTAGCTGGAAGGAGTTACCCTAGAGCAACCAATCGAAGCCAAGTACCTGGGCTTCATACTAGACAAGTGTTCCATATTTGGCCCACATTTAAAAACCACGGCTAGAAAGTGTGGGCACAGGATTCAGGAATTGCGGTAGCTTATAACCAGAAGTAGCAAAATGAATTTGAGAGCTAAAAGAACGGTGTGCAGATCTGGGGAATAGCTGCTTAAACAAACTACAAACGCATACAGGTGCTACAAAATCGATCATTGAGATAAACTGCCCGTGGCATGTGCGAGGCTCCACCCTACACCGGGCTCTTAATCTGCACACAGATGATCAGCAAATTGGAAGACATACAAACCGGTACAGTGACAGGCTGACAAGACACCGCAGTCTGCTCGCAAGGCGTTTATCACCAGAACGGCCTCTGAGGCGCTTAAAAAGATTGGGCTTTTCCCAAACTGTTAACACTAGATAAATACTCATTTCCGCATTGATAGTACCTGCTGCATACAGCATGGAGTTTGGTCTTTTTGCAATGTCTTAATTGGGTTATTAAGGTACTAGTTTGAATGTAAGAATACGCCCTCGCTCAGTGCGCTCTCAAAATTGTATGCAAACTGAAACTAATGTCATGTAAGATCGGAATTAGTACGCTCATTAGTCTTAGTCATTAAAAGCATTGTATGGTGTTAAAAATATTCATTCTATGTTCTAACACCAACTGGAAAGCATTGTCATACGGCTCTTCTTGATTTTCTTACTAATTGGTAAGTACTATTGAGGAAGTTTTCAATTTTTGTATATAATTGGTTCTTTTTAAGCTATTTCCAGATAGCCGTGTTTGTGCGAGGGATTGGATTGGTAATGATGTTCGCTTTGATAACTTATTCATGCTTAAAAGAATTAATTTCAGAGAATTCAAATTATCCCGTGACCTTTATTAACAAAGTGCCATTATACCCAATAAATACTGCTATTGGATATTCATCAAGTAGAAATGATAATACCCAACATGGGTCAATATTATGGTTTTAATATTTGTGGGGATAAATTAATTAAAATTGGGCGACTGAAAGATCTGATGGCCCGCTCCATACGCACTAAAAATTGTTTGCAAACTGAAACTAATTGCATGAATAATTACGCATGAAACGTAAGTTTAAACAAAAAATGGCTAAAAATGCGAAGGCGGCAAGGGGCGGGGCTCATTTTAGAAATACACATGTAACAGTGTGAGCGTACAGAAGACTGGATGCAAAATTTGGTGGCTCTAGCTTTTATTGTCTCTGAGTACTAGGCGCTCATCAGGACGGACGGACAGACGGATAGACATCTACTCGGCTATTAATGCTGATCAAGAATATACACAAACTCTGTGGGGTCGGAAACGTTTCCTTCTGTGCGTTATTTACTTTTCGAGTACCGGGTATACTTAAAGCTTGTGTAAAAAAAAATGAATCCATTTATATTTTACAGCATTCAAAAATATTACAGATGCCAATTGCACAAATAACTTTAACTCTATTGGTTCCTTTTCTGGCTAGTTATGCTGGGGGGCCTGCAACAAAATGTGACAGCAATATTAAAAATTCCACATCTACAGCTGGGGTACGTTCACAAGGAAAAATCTCAAGCTGTTGAGTCGAATATCATCTTGTCGTGACTTGTCGTCACAGACGCTTGTCGGCGTCTTTGTGTGTCATGCTATAAAATCAAATTGTGTTCTTTTTTGGTCGGAAAAAACCAACTCACTCGCGAAAGGAAAACCAGACTGCTGTGATTGCACAGTCAAGTGGCGAACGTGTTGCTATTCACGGTAAATTAAGTTTCCCCGGAATGTACATAGCTATTTCGATGGTGGCTTACGAGTGGAAAATGTCTAAATATAATTCATACAGAAAATATATTTGACTCGGCTTTAACCTAAGTAATTTCTTATGAAATAATCCGTCCACAATACTTGGCTTCTAAAGTCTCTTCAAATCCCTTAAGCTCCCTTTATTAATCATTTAAAGAGCAGCCTAAGCAAGCAAATTTATTAATTTACATCACAATTAATCTCTCAATTTAAAGCATAAATAAATCAATTTTTAGGCGCAATAAAAACCTTACGAAAAAACCTCTAAAGCCACTACATAGCCGCCAGAGACAGGAGAAATTCATTAAAAGCAACTCTGGGTAAATGCTTCGAGCCTGACGGCAACAGAGAGAGCAAGGCGACGAGCTGAGGAGAAGACAACAGCTCACTCTGTCACTCTCTTTTTTTCCCTCACACCTTTTCAACAGAGTTGAAATTGTTTGTCATTTGCGCTTCATTTAGTTTTGGCCATTGAACGATCACTTGATGACGCAGTCGATGCCACAGCCACTGCTGATGATGATGATGATGATGTCTAAATCACACAATTTTGGTTAATCTGTGTTGGTCCTTAGACCTCGTTGGCGGCGGAACAACATGGAGTAGCAGGAAATTACCGGAAATGTGTCCGTTGAATAACGGTTTTTATACCCGGTACTCGAAGCGTAAATAGGGTATATTGTATTTGTGCGAATAACGGTTGTATGTAACGCACAGAAGGAAACGTTTCCGACCCCATAAAGTATACATATTCTTGATCAGCATCAATAGCAGAGTCGAATGAGCAGTGTCTGTCCGTCCGTCCGTCCGTCCGTCAGTCCGTCCGTCGTCTGTCCGTCGTGTTTGTCGGCTAGTTCTCAGAGACTATAAGAACTAGAGCCCCCAAATGTTGGCTCCAGACTGCTGTATGCTCACACTGAAACCAGGGTATTTCCAAAATTAGCCCCGCCCCCTTCCCACCCGCGAAAGGGCGAAAACCTTCCAAATCTACAATTTTGAAGTCAAAGAAAATCTAAAACTCAATTCCGTAGGGAATGGCCATATCTATCAGATCACCAAATTGGGATCCGATTGGATCATTATTATAGCCAGAATGAAGAAATTAATTTGCAGTGGCTAAACCCACCCCGTCCTGCAGCTTTTATTTTATTTTTGCACATTCTCTCATTCACACTCAGCTTCTGCAGTGTGCGGCCTCTGTCTCTCGCGTTTCTCTCTGCAGTGTGTGGCTCTAGGAAAGGGGGCGAGCTTAAGAAGCGTGTTGGCTTGAGAAGTGTTGTAGATGTAGATGACAGATGAAGAAATGTAAATATAAAATTTGACAAAACACCGCTAAGGTACAGATGTAGTACTGAGTGCCGGGTATAAAAGTTGTGACGCGTAAGAAGCGTCTCGCACGTCCCTTTTTCTTTGCAGAAAGTGGCCCACAGTTTTTTTTTTTTTTTCTCTATTAAGATTTGTTTTTTTCCGGCTCCCCGAAGCGGATAATAATTTATTATTACTAATGAAGATAATCATCAACAGAGGACTCCGTGTGTGGTGTGTTGTGGGCGCCTTGAGAAATGATAGCTGTCATTGACTAAGCTTTTCATTGTTAGCCATAGAAGACATTTCTATCAATATTTTTTTTTATATTAGTTATATTTTGTTTATTTTCGTAAACCTATTCTATTCTATGTATTAGAAACAAAATTTTCCACCAACTTCCCCTCCCAGTTAATTACTGTATATTTTCCAACTCTGTAACAATGTTAAAGTACCTTCCAGAGAGTGGTGCTAAATAAAACACACGTGCCGCGACGCACATTTTTCAACAGGTTCCTTAATGAACCTCTGGGCTTCGGGCGTCTGTCATTTGGGCGTTGCTTCCTAGATAAATACAGGAATCTGCCATTTGTTAATCGTAACACGCACACGCAAATCCAAAAAATCACAAATACTCACAAAACAAACAACAAATAATACAGAAGCGGAAAGACATAAGGCACACCTGCGACAGGTTCCCATCAACGATATTTGTTCATTTTTGTTGACAATACTTTAACATTGCGTTCCAAAAAAGCCCCAAAAATATACCGACGAAATAATCATCATTTCAAGTTTATAGAGCGGGACGGATAACTTTTTGAGTATTAAATAATATTTATGGAATATTTAATAACTTTCTTACCTATTTTAAATTGTATGGTTAAAGTATGAATCCTTTCTTAAGTACGTTTTTCGTTGCTTTGTTTTCCTGTTTGAATATTCGAACTTTGTGCGCTGACTTTGTAGAATTTAACTTTTCGGTGATTTTGCTTCCCGTTTTTCTTTCAATATTGTCATCTATTGTAGAGTCTTTTTCACTGTGAGCAATAGGAATCGCTAGTTTTTTACATGATTTAACATGCAAAGCACAATTTGATGAGAGCTTTGCTCGGTTTTCTTTTGTGAGTGCACCCTCGGCGGAAAGTTCGTTCTACACTTTCGACTTTAACTTGAAATTTTCGTTGAAGTTTTTCGTTGCCAGTTCTTTTAAATAACACATTAAACGTTGGCTATTGGGTTTTTATGGTTGTATGGATGGACGTTAAAGCATACTTTTATTGAACAAAATGTTTCGATAATTTGGGTTTGCATCGCTGGCCGCACGCTTCACTTTACTTGTTTACTCATAGGCCATGTTGAACATAAAGAACTATAACGATTTCCATTTCCGTATCGCGATTCATTTCTAAAAATATAAATTTAAAATTACTAAAATACTTTGAGGCACAAAATAAAAGAGAACCGGGAGCCAATTGATCATTTTCAAAGCCGATTAAGGCAGATGCCACTTGGCTTAATGTCTCCCAATGCCAATTTTAGTGTACCAATAAAATCATCTAAGTAATTCAATTCGGGCTGATGAATGCCATCAAAGCCAAGGCAATGCCAGACACCCCTTCAAGGTTTGCCCAAGAGATTGCCGCCATGAAAAATGACTATTGGTGTCAATCATTGCAAGGATTACTTTTCACAGAAACATCACTCCTCAACGTCCTCTTCCGATGACAATCAAATTGAAGTTATATCAGGCGAGAGCTGCTCCTGGAACTATGTACCCCAGAGCACTTTAAAATATCTAAGCTTTTCCTCAAAAACTTAAGGTTTTGAGTGCACCAAGGAGGAGATCAGTCGAAACTCGTTAAATTTACAAGCGCATGGAATTAGTCACACTTGGGCTAAAGTCTGTTCGGGAATTGCTTTATTTTTTACGACTGTTTGTTTAAGTATCTGTATAATCTTTAAGTGTGTATATTGTTTGAGTTTCTTTAGAAAATTATTAGCTTTTTCAGTATTTAAATGGCATGAGTGACAGTGAATATTGCAGTTATATATTTTACGGCTGGTAATTCATAGCTTTAGTTATTAATAATCTATTTTACCATTTTCTTTCGGTACATGGATTATTTTAATAGCTTTTTTGTGTTTGTATTCCATAAATTATATTTAATTTTTATTTCTTTACATCCCGTTTAAGTATTGTTTAACCGTTTCTTTTATTACTTAATTTCTACTTATTTTAAATGTCGCGTATTCATTTAAAATATTGTCCCATAAATAATTCACTTTACAATTCCCCAAATCTTTTTCTCGGAATATTTTTGTTATTGAGCTTTCAAAAACTGCGTAAATCACATGGTCATAATTTTGTTTTGTTTTGACATTTCACATTTATTTTTCAACATGAGTATTCCCAAATATCACGTTCCCACTCACACAACACACATGAAAAAGGCGAAATGCGCGTTTAAACACACTCGAATTCTTCTCGAATTCTGCTCGAATTCTCAGTACGAAAACACTTGAAATATTATCCAAAAAGCGCTCTGTACTCGGCAGAGATGGGTTCGAAATTCTTGAGCCTTTTTTGCATTTCGCGTCCGAATCGTTTGAGAGGCCGCGACATTCTAACGGCTCGTTGCCGAAAGTCATCGGAGTCGGCGACTTACGACGGCCAGTGGCTGGCTAACAGCTGTTAGCTGACTGTTAACATTAACAGTGGCTGGCATCGTATGTTGTCGTTATGGTAGATTGGGTGGGTGGTCTGTTTGCGTCACGTGTTGGCCATGTTGTTGCTACTTTTGTTGCATTGAACTTGAACTAGTAACATAATTGTTGTAGTTTCTGTAGCTGTTTGCATGTTTGTTGCTTCTGTTGTTTTGACATTGGCGCGCATTTTGCCGGCTGTTTGGTGCTCTCTCCATGCGCATGCTCTCTCTCGCATTTTTGGGTGACCATTCATTCACTCCACTGGCCATTGGAGGAGCCACAATGGCGCATGTTGTTGGCGTCTTGCAATTTGCGAAGGCGTTGCAACGGTAAAGTCAAATTAATTAGGCACCTCCATCTTTGCATGTGTTATATGATAATGCCCACGGAATAAATAATGCATTTTGCTGTAAGGCTAATTTTAAATTCGAATATAAAGTGTGCCTCAGTACGTATGAGTAATCTGATTGTGGGGGGATTAGCAAGGTCGATTCGAGGAACTTGAGCATTTGAGCTGTGTGGCAGTAGCTTAAGGGGTGCATGGCTGTATAGGGAATTAATCGCCGGATTAATAAATATATTGTTGCACACTTTTATTTTATATATATTATTTCACACTCTTAATTCCAACTGTTAGCTGTGTTTTAATAACTATAATCCTTCCATGATAAATGAAAAGCTCTAAAATCTAATTTAACCCGATTTCTGTCTGTTTTTAGGTATTCTAAAACCTTCCTTAGCCTTCGCAGGCCTTTCCACTCAATTGCTTCTCCAACAATAGACTTAAAATCCCTCCACAATTGTTCTGTGGCTGAGTGCCAGAATAGAGTTTCGATTCACCATGCCAGTAACGTGTAGAAGAGATCCGCAACAAGAACCACAAGAGTGGCAACAACCTCAATGACTTGGCCAACAGCCATCGCCAACAGCCGAGAGGGTTGAGGAGAACAGGGAGGAGAGAAACTGCGTCTGGGTGAACGAAATTAATGCAGTCCCATGTGCACAGGAAAGCAGGGAAACCCCCATCGAAAAAAAGACAGCTTCAACTTCCCAAGGATACGAACCATTTTATGGCCCTTGCAATTAAGAGAAAATCACCAAGGTGGCGCAGCGTCTCGCAATTCGTCGAGGAAGGGAGAGGTAGATTGGAAGAGTGGCAGAGCGTAAGGCATATTACGAGTGTGCTCTATAAATTCAAAACGTGCTGAAAGCCGTGAAAAAACAATCAGGATTTTGTTATTCTTGAATGTCAACGCGCGATCCGTTACTTAATTTAGCCAACATACTGGAAATACTTAGCCGCTCCGAGTAGCTGAAAAAATGTGTGCCAGGGCTGGGTTGTGTGCCATGCTGTTGGCCAGAATGTCCAACTTTATTGCAACGGAAGTTGTTGGCAGGAGAGCGGAAGTTCCGCCAGTGAAGTGGTTGCATCTGCCGCAGCTGCTGCTACTGCTGCTGCATAGCTATGGCGCCCTAAAGCAGACTATGCATTTATCATGCTGCCTTTTTTTCAAACGAGCAAGGAGAGAGCATATGCATTTCTTTTTTCATAAAGGGAAGAGCAAAAGTGTAATGGCGCAAGGAGTTTGAAGAGAAAAATTAAGGTAATAATTAAGGGTAATGAGTGCGGAAAAAAAGTGGTTAGGGAGCGTAGCTAAGTGATTTATAAACCGAAAATTTAAGAAAAAAGGGAAGGCCAATGAGTAGGAAAAAGGTTCCAAATATTAGAGTTGGAAGCTGCAGGAACTTTTACCAGCTTTATTGTACATTTTTATCAAATCGCTTGTTGATAAGAGGTGCGACAAGAAACGATCGAGTATAAATGCGGGAATGGGACTGCCACAAAAGGATAGCAATATGTAAAATTACTATAATACTAGCTGCTGCCCCCGCGCATTCCACAACGACGGGCACGAACATCGTGACACGAGAATTTTATATATAAGATAAAAGGTACTGTAAAAACACCTCTGATTGAATCTACCTTTTATGGACAGGACACGAACCTCACCACAGAAGAGCGCTTTGGACGCTTCACCGTTTTTAAACCCGGTGCAAGAGTAAATAGGGAATATTGTATTTGTGGTGAATAGTGGATGCATGTAACGCACAAAAGGAAAACGATTCCGACCCCATAAAGCATATATATTTTTGATCAGCAACAATAGCCGAGTTGATATAGCCATATATGTGTGCCTCATGCAATGCGCGTCATTGGAGGGTGGTGTGCTAAAAGGGAGCGTTGGCGTGAGAAGTACCGTAGATGTAGATGGAGATGTAAAACAAATGTAAAATGTAAAGCTCGAAAAAACCACTAAGGTAAAATAAACTGAATGAGTACCGGATATAAAAGATGTGATGAGTACGAAGCGTCTCAAAAACGTTCCTACTCGTTATTTTACCGTTTGGTTTAAATCAATATCCAGTATTTATTTTTCCTATCTTCTTTTGCCATCTTCAGTTTCCTGTATTCTAGGGCAAGCTGTCTATCTCCTTATCTTATCTCAATCTCTTTGTATTCTAGAGCAGCTGTTTGCCTAAAGTGCGCCATCGATGCGTGCAACAATTTGAATGTAATTTCATCGATTGTTGACTTGCAATGCCATTTTTATGCTACGAAGACCAGTCAGTCAGTCCTTCAGTCGAGTGGCAGTTGCAACGTGAACTTGATACTGAAAAATTGAACAAAGCAGCAAACTTGTAACTTGTGTGTGACATGAGGCTGGAGGTTAGAGATTGTTGTAGATTTGCTTGCATAAAAGTTTACAAACAAAAATCAATTGTCGACACAGCCACAGCCAATGTCACGGATCGACGAGGCGGCAAGGGCACATGTCACTCTGCATATGTTTAGAGTTGGGATCGTAACGAATTGGCCAATGTTTGTCGTCGGCTAAGCCACAAACTAACCAAAGACAAGACAAGTTTTTCCGGTTTTTAGCGCAGAGGGTAGTCACGTCCTTTTCTCTGGGATTACTTCCTGAAATTCTCTCGTCAACTTTTCAGACAGCTCTCTGGAATTCTTCTATTTCGAAAGAAACAAACAAAAAAGTAAAATCAAACTGCAACTTAAATCGTTGCTTCCACGGCCAAGTTCAAGTGGAAAAGTAGTCATAAGTCGCTGCCACATGCCTGCAAGGGGAAGTACTACTCGTACTTGGCCAAGCTTTTGGTAAATAATTTAAGTGTGTGTACACTGAGCTTAGGAATGAGGCAAGCAAGCGCAAAAGATAAAAGACTTCCCACTGGGCTATGGATGCAAATTTAATTTCGTATCGCAGCATGGCGTAACGGGGCAAAAAGCATCTAAATAAAATGTTCCTCATTTCCCCGACTGCCCATGTGGTTAACAATTCCATAGAAATTTAATTGAGTTTTGCTTCACACACACACACACACACGCACACACACAGCAATGCGATTTGGAAGCCAAAAAGGAAGCTTAATAAATGTCGTGACCATCAGTAAAAGCATTCCCCCCCTGACTCCAAGCCAAGCTAATGAATCAATCAATAAAACTGACTAAAAACTCAGCAGAAAACGAAAATTTATTTAATGAATAATAAATCGTTGGCTTAAAACCAACAGTAGAGAATATTCTTATCTATCAAGAGTAATATATAATAAAAAATGTATACGAAAAACTTTTCCCATATCCAGTGCCGGAAGTTGTGTGCAACACTTCTTCCGGGTGGCAGCAACATTTTTAGCCGTCGGTAAAGCAGCAGGCAAAACCACATTTCCCTCTGCCAACCACAGACCACTCTGCTCTGCTCTGCTCTCCCAACGGGCTGGGCTGACTGATTGATGAATTTTCATATATGAAAATTATATGAATTCGGGGCATATTTTATGGCGATAAAAAACAGAACCATGCATTCTAAATCTGCTCCCCATAAATTCTAGGATCGTCGTTTGATAAACGTTCACGTTTGAAATAACATCAGTTTATAGGATATAATATACAGATTTAATATCTATGTATATACATTTGGCCGGCATTGTTTGGGGCCACAAATAACTCATTTTACGACTATACACATAAGCATTTAAGCGAACAAATTTAATCAAATGTCTTCCCCACTATAAGCTCTGAGAGCCGTAAAGATGATGAGCACCAGAGTTAGAGAGAGGGAGAGACTTAAGATTTGCCAGTAAAGATGAAGTCAGCGCAGAGCCCATAGTCGTTCACGACTTAACTATTTGTTTTGTCATAAAAGCGTACCAATTATTGGTGTTCTAGGCAGCAAATTCTCTTGTTTCAACTCTTACCAGTTGCCAAGAAGTATTCAAAGGAGCAACGCAAAAGAAACCCCATTCTGGAACCTCCTTGCAGCAGTTTGTATCTCTTCTCACTAATTACCAGCAGCAGTGCCAAAACCATAAGAAGACGATGGCCCCTGGTGGGGCTGCAACTGTGGCACGTTGGAAAATGTTATGGCAAATATGTTCTTCCAGTTTGAGGCGAGCCCAACGTGCCAGCCAGCCACCCGCCTAATGAATAATGACAGTCCAGAGCCGCTCGAGCGGCATGAAAGATTCTTTGGCCGGACCAGCCACTTTTGTGTGCGTGTCGAAGGGCATGTGCAAATCGAAAAAACACGACCTTGAGCGGAAGATAAGTGACGGAAAAGATGTGTGGCAAAGGCTGGAATATGCCAAAAGCACTGAAATATCCTCAGGCAGCGACTATTATACAAACCATTTGCTTCCATTTCTTTTTGGTTGTGCCAACAACTTTTTGCAGGTCAAGTTGGCATAGCTTGGACGTGGCAGACGGAGCGGTTTTGATACTTTTATTCTCAAAAGTTGTTTTTCAGAGACATTTCCGAGCACTTAAAGTCTAAATATGCCTAATCCACATCAATGGCAGATTATTGTTTCAATGGAATTGAGTGCCTGAATCA